CCTTCTAGGTGCTGGCATGCGAGTGCATGCCCAATTTTCGGCACGGGAGCCCAAAAAAGTTAGCCACCACTGTAATGCATCTTCTAAGACATTAGGGCAGAATCTTTCATAATTTCTCTTCAACAGAAAATATATATTTTTATTGACACAATGGACAAGCTTGCAGGTGTCTATTTACAAAACCATCTCCTAAATTTTGTCAGCCTGAAAAACAGCCTTCCCATATATGCAGTTGGTCTAAGGCAATATATATTATATTGGTTTTTACATGTATCAAAAATATTGTAACACTGTTCAACTGCCACTTTTATACAAGAACATTTGTTTTTGTTGAAAACTCCTGAAAAATTCAATCATATAAGTTTTAAATCACAAAATTTTTAATTAGAGTAATTATTTTCTCTACATAATTGTGAGTTCTTTTTTTAAGATAAAAATACAAAAAAAAACCTTTAAAAAAAACAAATGGAACAACCAAACCGGAATCACTCCCTCTCTAATAAGCGAGGGATCAGAAACAACAAAAATGTTTTTCAACTCTGACATGTTATGAGAGATAAAACGGGGTCCCTGATTCAAGGAGGAGCCAAAGAGGGATATTAAAGTTAATAAACTAACTTGCTATATTAGAACTTCTGGATTACCATGAAGTGCCAAGAGCCTAATTTAAAATGACTGCAGGTTGACATCATATTAAATCATTGTTTATTTTAATGAGAATAAAATGACCTGAAGCTTTCAGTTTTATTTTTAATCAGTTTCAAATTAATAAAAAGTTAGGACATAAGGCCAGAGGTGGTGAAGAGGGGGGAGACTGCCAGCAGCGTTGAGGAGAGCCGCATCTCCTCCTCAGCTGGCCATTACTCCCTTTCCTGAAGGTGGTTGCAGCGGTGGTCAGAAATGGCCACCTCAAAGAAGAACTTGACCGGAAAAGAATGTGCAGGAGAAAGATAAGAAGTTAAAGTTCTGGCTGACCGGGTTAAATTGCAAAAGCAACAACTAAGGTACCCTGGAATTTAAACTAAAAAAAATAACATCGTTCCCAAAGAAAATTCTGAAGCAGCGAAGGAAAGTGAAAAGGGAAAGGTTTGGTTTCTTTTTTCTTCTCTCTTTCCCTATACTGACAACTAAGAGACTTAAATAAGAAATCTGAAAAAAAAATGCGTTTTGACATCAACAGGCAATTAAGCTGAAAATAAAATAAAATGTCAAAGGGATAATAAAGATTCCTGGACACAAAAAATTTTATAAGCAGGAAAGGAGAGAAAAAGAATAAAAGGGCAGGATCTGGAAAAAAGGGAGGAGACTGCCTGGAATTAAAAGGAATCTACAGTAAAACTTCAACAAGACTTCTAAAAGATACATTTTAACTGAAACTTGGCAACTAAATAGTAGAACCCCAGGAAGAGAAAGTAAAAAAAAAAAAAAGCAAAAAGAAACAGCTTGTATATATTTGGATTACTTGGTGATTCTTTGGATTCTTGGTTATTGCACTTGAATGACTAAAATCAATCGGGTGGTTGTTTAAAAATTTATACAGTGGCACTACTTCTGGATGAATTGAAAATGGAACTTAAAAAGTACAAAGAAGATGCACAAGAAGGGAGGGGTTCTTTTGGCTTCGTTTTTCAATTCTTAGAAATGGAGATCTCGAACTATGAGAAACAACAAGAAACGTCTGCAAAACAAGAAGACTGGGACAAAGAAGAAGCCATCTTTAATGAACAAGTAATTCTATGTGGGGAAGAAAAAGGAAAGGGGGGAAAGAGAATGGAGAATTTAAGACTTAAAAAAACAACCAAAGAAAAGAAAAATAGTTCAAAAAATAAGTATAATATTGGAAAGCAACAAAAGAGGGGAATACAGAAGAGAGAAATAGAGGTAGAGAGACAAGGGGGTAAAAAGGGGAGAGAGAAGAAGAGAGGGAAGAAGGAAAGGAAAGGAGGGACGGAAACATTTTAATTAGTTAATGTTTTATAAAATATAAGTGAAGGGGGGGGAATTAATTATGGAAAGCTTATAACTGTTCCCATAAAAGTATGACATTTAATTGAAAAGTAATGTTAAAGAAGTTAAGATTTTAATGAATATTAACATTAATGATAGAATTGAATTGGAATGGAATGTGTTGTTTTAACTATATATATTTATAATCTTTTTTTAAAAAAGAATATAGTGTGTATTTTAAGAATGTACCAAGCAGAATCGGAATGGAAGTTATGTATTATATTGAATGTTATAACTTTAAGGTATATATTGAAGCTTAAATAAGAGTTAAATGGATAAAATTAAAAGATATAAAGGTGTCATACTCCAATCAGCAACAACAGGAGAAACTTTGTTTAATGAGAAAAGATAATATGAAATTGAAACAGGACAGACAAAAAGTATAAATATAATGATTTGAATTGAGATAATTAAAATAAAATTGAGAAAATTAAAAGAGGGGAGAAGCTATGTAGAAAATGTAAAACAGTAATAAGATATGGAATAGAACATAAAAATGAGCATGAAATTGAATTTGTGTCTGTACAAAGAAATGTAACCCGGGATTATGCTACTTTGTATTTCTTTGTGAAAACTCAAATAAAATTTACAAAAAAAAAATGTCAGGATTAGGTCATAAGCTTACTTTTACATTGTAATTACCATCGTAATTGAAAACAATCTTAGCAACAAGACAGTTGTTAAACAAGGACTACCGTATTTCTCCAACAATACGGCCTCCCCCAATAGGAAGTCCCAGCATGTTTTATAGGCATAAAATCAAATTAAGCCCCTCCCCCAAAATTAAGGCCTATATTAAACATGCGAAATGGGGGGGAATGGCAGGGGGGCTTGCCGTTAGGAAGTATTTTGTTGCATACCTGGATATGGTGCTGCCTGCGTTGACTTCGGCGTTGGCAAGGCGACGGCAGCGCTGCTTCCCTGGCCAGCGGGTCCGGCGGAGAGAGCCCGAAGCCGCCCGTCCTTTCCACCCCTCACCCAGCCCGTCCCCGTCCCCATGCATCTCCAAATGTGCCGGCAGCTCCAAACGCTGCAGCTGCACGGGCATCGGGCAGAGGCGCTCACTCGGCAGGGCTCAGCTCGGAGGAAGACGGGGCCAAGGAGGAAGGTCTCCCGATACGAAGTGCCCCACCAACGCCAAGGTCAACATCCAAGCCATCGCCGCCCGCCCGAGGATGCAAGGGGTGGAATTAAGTCACCCCCGAAAAGATGGCCTAGCCATTTTTTCGGGGGTCAAAAAAAAATAAGGCCCGGCCTTATTTTGTGAGAAACACGGTATTTGTGCAGTTAAGTAAATGAAAGTTTATGTACCTGCAAAAAATTAAGTTTTGTAATACTGAATTTACTTTCATTACGTGGAAAAACATAAAACAGCTTCTTCATCCATATATTAGGGCATATAGACATCTCAAGATTTTAAACTTGTGAGATCGTCTCTTGTAATTCAAGTATTTTTCCTTTCTGAATGTAGAACATAAATGTTAAACAGTGCTTATATATAAAAAAAGTATAGCTTATCAAATGATACATCTAATATTTTCAGTTATATTTTTGGTTAAAAATATTTAAAGAAAAGAAATACTTGCCTGGTTCCACATATCATATTACGACAGTTTAAAATTCATGCCAGCCCTTCGGAATTATTTAAGATTTTTTTCCCTAGCTTTTCCTGAAATGCTTTCTTTCAGACTGGACTACTAATTATTACATCTAATTGTAAAAGCTTGGATTTATTTATTTTTCTTATTAATCTTATCTGTATGGTTGCCCATCTTATAAATAGCAGTTCTGACCAGCTTCAATAATCAAATAAAACAAGAAGTATAAAATTGTTCATTACAGCAAAGGTCTCATCACCAAAGTCAATTAATGCTTGCCCAATATAGTTTTGCTGATGGTTTTCCACCAAGAATTTTAAGAAGTTGTCAAGGGAATCTTGTACTTGAGTATAAACTGACTAAAGTTCATATGTAACTAATAAACAGACACACACACACACACATTAAACATATACAAAAGTACAAAAACAACTATTTTCCGGCAAGAAGGAATAACTTTGAAACATTCAAAAACAATTGTCTAATATCTATACTTGATTTACAAAATTATTATTACAAAACAACAAATATTCTCCTTAGAAAATCTACAGTTCAGAATTATTTTGTGGAGTCACATTAAGGAAGCAAGAGGCAGTCAAGAAGATCAACAGTTTAACAGTTTGGTGTTTTTAAGAAAGTTTCTTTCAATTTATTCAGGTTAAAAGAAACAATGAAATCCAGTTTTATTTAACAAAGATTTCAAATTCCAAATTATATCACTTTCCAATTTTCGTATTTCCTTTTACTTGGTCACTCTATATAACAATAGTAGTCAATACAAGCAGGGGTGGGATTCAAATTTTTTAACAACTGGTTCTGTGGGCTTGGCTTGGTGGTCATGTGACTAGGTGGACATGGCTTGGTGGTCATGTTATTGGCTGGGCGTGGCCAACTCAACATCCCTCACATCGAGACACGCATCTCCTCACCTGGCCTCTCATGACTGTGAGGATGCTGCAACAGTCGTAAGTGTGAAAAATGGTCATAAGTCACTTTTTTCAGTGCCATTGTAACTTTGAATGGTCACTCCACACAAACAAAGTACCAGCAAAGGAGGAAAAAACCTCCAGAGAAGTTCCTGAGACAGGAAGTCTAGTCCTGCCAAGAATGTAATAAGGGTTAACGGAGAGGCAGTTTCTGTAAGCAACACCAGAATGTTTCCTTCCTGTCTTCCTTACAGGATTAGGCCAGTAATTTCTTCTAACAACCGGTTCTCCGAACTGCTTAGAATGTTAACAACCGGTTCTAGCGAATAGGTGCAAACTGGTAGAATCCCACCCCTGAGTACAAGTCACTTTGGTGAAATGACATTTTTGGAAATAGTCTAAGGATAGATACCCTCATTTAATGTATTCATAATTTTTTAAAAAACAATAGAATTTTATATGTTCCTACCGCATCAAATTCTGCTTGATCATCTTCAGGGAGGTCACATGTTTCATAAACATCAGGCTCATTCCTGGCCTGAAAAATAATAAGTGGGGGGAATCAGAATATTACTCCAGATCCTGTTACAATAACATTTCCTTAAAAAAAATCCACCATAAATAAATAATAGTATGCATGAACTCTTTTTATCTAAAGAACTCAAATCAGAGAATATAACTAGATGGATCACACACTTAATGTATGATCAGTTAAGTAACAAACTTTTCTTTTGTAGTATCTTTGTATATTTTTATTTTTAATTTATCTTGTGTTGTATGTTTCCCAGAGGCAGAATAGAATTGGGAACCTTCAAAATAAATAAATCGCACCTACTGGCCCAAGAAATATTTATTAGCCCATTCACCACAAAGCAGCTGTTTTCAATAATAAGTAAAGATTCAAAGGGAAGACTTCAGGGTGAGATTCATGAACCTGACTGAATTGCATGTATAATCTACATTTATTTCTGGTGTTTCCATGCTCAGAAAATACATAGTGATGGTTAGTTGATATTCGAAAACAAGACCGGATCTTATATTAATTTTTGATCCAAAAAATGCATTAGGTCTTATTTTCAGGGAAATACGGTACTAAATGCATCCATCTGGCTGACGATCTTAACTGGGACTTCTTTTGGGGATAGGGCTTATTATTGCAACCATCTTGAAAAATCATGCTAGGGATTTTTTTCCAGTTGGATCTTTACCAGATCTGCTGTTCAGAACCAGGTCTATAAACGCCAGACAGAATCTCAAACTATTGGCCTCACGAGTGCTAAACCAGGTCCATGGCAAAGGAATGTTGGAGATAATTTAAAAAACTCGGCAGAAAAATGTACATACTATGATCATCACTGGTACAATAGGAAATATATAAAATAAGTACAGAAGGTGCATATTTCTTTGTTTGGGGATTTCGAATTGCAGCATTGTTCCTCCCAAATTATCAATTGGCTATTATTTATTTAACAAATTTAAATAACTGTCCATGTAGTCAAGGATCTCTGGGTAGCAAACAGAAGTGGAACACAACCAAATTCTATAAATCCAATTTAAAAAAGAAACTAGGTCAAAGTCCCTAAAAATTACATCTTTAGAACATCAAACAAAACAATACCCACACTGTGGCTCCACCAACGCCAGTATCTGGGAAAAGAGGCCAGATTTTCATAGCCTTCTAAAAGGCCAATAGGATCTAGGCCTCTGTGATGATCCGGGGCGTGGCACAAAGGCAACACAGTCAAATAAGCAAGAAGAGTCCCTTTATTATCTCCAACTTTGCCCCCAATGTCCAGGTTACCTTCGGCTGGAGAAAAAACTCTCCCAAGAACAGTCTTTAAGTGGAGGAAATTCAGTCCGAAAACAAAGTACATAAAACTGTAACTAAAAATCCAAACAAACTATGCTGCAGTAATTAACTTGACAGGGCAGGAGAAGGAATTGCAGACTTGAAAGCACAGCAAAACACACACAGTTGGAAAGATGCCAGGCCAGGAACACAAATAAGCCTCAAGGATACCAGATAATTCACGATTTGCTCCCAACAACTTGCTGTGCGCAGCTTCCCTTTTTAAACACTGTGTTCCCAGCTGCAGCTAATGAATCAGGGCCCTTTCCTCCCCCATAAGCCACGCAACTCACGTTGCTCCCTTCTCTGTTCCTCCCTGCGTGCTCTAGGATGAAGAGTGGGTGGACCTGGGTCTTCCTCCGAATTCCCTCTCCCTTGCTCTACCTCTTCCCTGCTCTGCCCAGCTGGACTGTGCTCTTCCCCAGTTTCTTCCACAGCCAATGGAGCCACACTCCCACTCCCTGTCAGCTGCTCAGCCTCCCTCTCCGAATCAGATTCCAACAGGGGCATGATAGCCTCCGTATTTTGGGGGAAAGCAGTTTCACAAGATATATTATTACAGAAGATATGCTCCCTTGTCTTAACAGAAGACGCTACTTCACTGAGAGGATTTGGAGCATGCCTATCTGCCAGATTTAGTGGGAAAAGCAGAAATCATTAGGGATCAGTGGCCTTGCAAGTAAACTGGTCCCATGTCATGTAAAACTTTAAAAATGATAATCAGCAGTATTAACTGCATCCAGAAGCCCTCTGGATTCACTGCAGCTCTCTTGTAGCAGTGGTGTTATGTCTCATATTGCAGCTCTTTAAAGCACATTGTAATATTTCTAATTGGAAATTGACTAAAGTGTGTGTAAATATCAGTGCTTCCTGATCTAGGAATAGGTACAAGTGGGGCATTGGGAAAATACGTTCTGATGAGCAAAATGCAAAAGCATAAGGTAAATGGCAACTCCATAAGGAGTCTATTAGCCATCATTTATATGACAGTTGCCTCAGAAGAGTGCCCAGTAAAATCTTTCCCAAATGTAAGCAGTAAGGTCACATACCTGCAAAAATATGGGAAAAGCAAATGTCCTTTCAAAGGAATGAGGAGAAATTCTATATGTAGTAAAAAATGAAACATTCTACAACTTGGCTTTCGACAATAGGATAAGAAACCATATTGTTTCAGATTAGCCGTCTAACAAAAAAAAATTACTAGTGTCTGAATTAAACAATAATAGATCAGGTTAGGCAAAACTCACCCAGTTTTATCCTGTTAAAACTTTACTGGCTGCCAGCATATTTCCTAAAATATAAAGTAGACTTCCCTAACATGGTACATTTATAAAAGATAAGGAATCCACACATTTTAATCAACTTTTAATTCCTTTTTATTTTACAGTACAATGTACAGAATAAACAAAGTTGCTTAGTTAGCAATGTTTATTCTGGCTAGGTGTTGGCTCTCCTGCATCTAAAGAAGAAAAGGCCTTTCCCATTTCCTGCTATACAAGCTAACTGAAGCTGCAGGGGCTGAATGTAGAATCTCCTGTGTGCCGAATAAGCCACTAAGCAATAATTCCTCACAAATACTGAATTACTCCAATGACAGGACAAAATAGAGAGATGTTGCTACAGGACATGGAACCAGGCCACTCCAGGTTCTTGTCCACTCCAGATAAAATACCCATAAAGTATCTGCAACCCATGCCTTAGGCTATATCCTTCAATGTGACACTTGCCCTTTCTTAACTGAGACAAGCACAATTTATTGGTTATTGTTCTATCTGGCAGTTCAATCAGCCACTAACACCAGCAGCTTTTCATACTCTCATACCCTGCATTTAAGACACTGAAACAAAAGCATCCCTTTGTCTTGAGCTTTTTTAGTCATCAGGCTTGTCTTTAGAGAAAATTGGCATAGGATTTGCACAGCGTATTATCACTAATGGACCCTTTGATTGTGGAATCGCTTTTGATGGGAATATCTAATTTTCACATTCTTCATTCAAGTACATTTTATCATCCTGGCAGTGGTGGGGAAAAGCCAAAGAGAAGTGGAAAGTTGTTTTTTTTTTTTTGTTGTTTTTTAAATAAAATGTGGGAGCGAAGAGAGGACCCCAAGAAACATTTCGCTTATATTTTCTATGTTTGCACCAACAAAATCATATGCAACATTCGTTATCAAACTTTTCCTCAATTTCCATTAGGGCTCTTTTCTGTGTAACTAAATAAAAGTTTAATTAGTACAGATACAAAATACAGCCAAAATACACATTCTGAAAAGTGTGAAGAACTAGCTGGCAACATCTGCCCTCCAGAATATTACTCAACACTCCCTGATCTTTCTGCAGGGGATCCCCACCTCTCTGCACAACCTCAGAGGCACTCCTTTCTTAATGGCATCCCGGCTGTCAGATACAAACCTCCTTCGGGATCAGGCTGAGCTCTGGGGCTTCCCTTAAATCCCTCTAATTTTCGCAAAGACTAAGGAGCTCCGCTCCCTGGCGCGGATCAAAAGCCCCAATTTAGGTTCAGGTGCTTCACTCCTTACCAGCAGATCTCCCACCCGCTTCTTCATCCATCCACCCTGCCATCCCGCAGCCCCATATCTCCAGTTCCACTAGCCTCTCCGACCCCACCCTTTCCCTCTCCCTAGGCACAGTTCATGCTCATCCTTAAAACGGCACCAGCCTCCCCGCCTCTTTTCTCCCTGCAGGGGCTTCTTTTTCGCCACTCACAATGCCGGGCAGGTCCGCATACTTGGGATCGGCCATAGCCAGGCGCAGGGATGGGTTGAAGCCACCTATGCCGGTGAGAGGCAGGAAAAAAAAAAAAACAAGTATCGCGAGAGCAACCGAGGCACGCGATGGGAAGACTGAAAGACTTTGGGCGTTGTTGTTGTTTTTTTTGCCGCGCTATGTTTTCTGGGAGCCGTAGTCCTAGAGACAGTAGTCATCCACTGCTGGATGAAGAACATAAAGTTTGGTCGTTACTGGGAATGTTCTTAGCATACGCCTGCAATTTCTCCAGTATTGATTTTAATTTTGTTTTCATTTCAGACTTCAAAAGTACACAAGATCCTTCTCATCAAAGTTAAAAACAGAAATTCCAAAAAAAATAGGATCTCTTTTTGTTATTAGTAATTGGCTATTTTTAGCCTTCTTTATGCCCTGGTGCTTTTTATTTTTATTTTTGTGCTTGAGTTTTCATTTATTTAGTATCCTAATTCTTCTACAAGAAAAATAGCCATTAAAAAAAAACCAAATACAATTAAACTTTATAAAATAATGCGCCTATTTTTCCAAAACCATTTAAAAGAGATGGAGTAAGGTGCCTTCAAGTCACTTTTTTACTCCTGACATGTGTCTGGATTAGTCCCTGTAGATTTCTTGACAAGATTTTTCAGAAGTAACAGTAACAATATAACAAAGTTGGAGCGGAATTTGGGGGTTTTCTAGTCCAACCCACTACTCAAGCAGGAGAGCCTATGCCATTCTAGACAAATGGTTGTCACTTCTTCAAAACTTCAGTAATGGAGCACCCACAACTTCTAAAGGCAAGCCATTCCACTGACTAGTTGTTCCCACTGACAGGAAATTTCTCCTTAATTCTAGGTTGGCTTTTTCTTTGTTAAGCTTTCATCCATTACTTCTTGTCTTGCTACTTTGGAGAATACGTTGACCCCCTTTCTCTCTGTGACAAAACCTCAAATATTGTAAGACGGATATCAAGTCATCTCTAATCTCTCTCTTCATTAGACTAGATATTCCCGGTTCTCACAAACATTCATTATCTGGTTTAGCTTCTGGTCCCCAAATCATCTTTGTTGCTCTTTTCTAAACTCTTTCTAGAGTCTCAACATCTTTTTTACATCATGGTGACCATACATGAAATGTATCCATTTCATGTATTCATAACTATGTTTATACCGTACGTATACCTGTTATCTTATAATCGCTTGACAAAATAAAATAAATAAAAATAAAA